AGGCGAGCGGTACCGTGCCAGTCCCTATCTTTCAGGGTTGTGCCCCCGCTCAGTGTACTTTCTCCGACGGCTCTGCCGCTGTGGCTGAGACTGCTGCTGCAGCGCAGTTTCGTTCGGGGAAGGGCCGCCGCCCCAAGTTTGGGCGCGGCGGAGGAGGCGGGGGTGCGGGAGGGGGTGGTGGTGGAGTCGGGTCGTCTGGTGCTGGAGCGGACGAGAGGACCCTGCCCAGTCCAACTGAGCCGCCGCCCCTGCAGTCGCAGCAGCAGCAGCAGCCGCCGCAGTCGCAGCAGCCGCAGCCTTCGCAGCAGCCGCCGCAGACGCGGCAGTCGAGCGTCCTCCCGCCCGGGTGGCCCGGCGCTGGCGGTGGTCGGGCGCGTGGTGGTGTGCCGAGTGGTGGTTCTGGAGGCGTGCGTTGTCAGTACCAGATCCAGACCGGTCCTCGCCGCGGCTTCGTTTGCGGTAAGATCGGTCACTCCACTCCCCGCTGTTTTCGTCGCCTGGACAACCTGTTTCGTCAGCGCTTTGGCCCGCCGCCAGACCTCCCCGACTGGCACAGTTTGCTTAGTCGTAAGATTCAGATTTTTGACATGGACATGGATGCCATTGTTTCTGCACTGCATGTGATGTATGCTGATGACTCTAGTGTGCTTCCCGCTTATTACTCACTGTCGGCTAGTGTAGGTGTGCCTAGCTTAGCCTCCCCTGCTGCGTCAGGCGTAGGATCCCCTGCTTTGTGTAGTCTTGGTGCTTCCGCCGTCGTTCCGTCGCCAGACGCCTCTGCTTCGCTTTCCTTTACCTTGGACTCTGGCGCTTCCCGGTGTTTCTTCCGCGACTTCACCACACTGACGCCGCTTCCTGTTCCTGCTGCCGTTTCTCTTGCTGACCCCTCCGGCGGTCCGGTCGTCGCCCGCAGTTCCACCACCCTTCCCTGTCCGGCGCTTCCTTCGGGCTCTCTCACAGGTCTGCATATCCCCTCGTTCTCCAGGAACCTAGTTGGTGTCGGCTGCCTCCAGGACCTTGGCGTCACCACTACGTTCCCTGGTCACGAGCGGTATGCTGTCTGTACCGAGGCCGCCACGGGTGCCCCCCTGTCCACGTTCCCCCGGGACCCGGTGTCCGGCCTGTTCACTCTGGACACCGTGACCCCCCCGGCTGGAGCGCTCCCTCAGGTGGCTGCGTCTACCCAGGTAGCTGCTGCCTGCTCCTGTCGGTCCCTCACTCACCCGACTCTCCTTTGGCACCACCGCCTAGGTCACCCTGCGCTCCCGCGTCTGCGTCACATGTCCCAGCACGATCTTGTCCTTGGTCTCCCAGGTTCTCTCCCCGCGTTTCCCTCCTCCCCAGCCCCACCTTGCACGCCTTGTGTCGAGGGTCGGCTTCGCCGTGCCCCTCACTCCTCCTCGTTTCCCCCTACCGCCGCGCTGCTGCAGACCCTGCACCTGGACGTCTGGGGCCCCGCCCCCGTCCCTGGGCCGCGTCGCGAGCGCTACTTCCTTGTGCTTGTCGACGACTTTACTCGCTACACCACAGTCTTTCCCCTGGAGCGCAAGGACGACGTGCCTGGCGCTCTCATCCCCTGGCTTGTCTCTGCGCGTGTCCACCGCGGTCTCCCTGTCTTGCGTCTTCACTCCGACCGTGGTGGCGAGTTTGCCTCAGGTGTCCTTGGTCGCTTTTGTCGTGCGGAGGGCATCACTCAGACGTTCACCCTACCGGACTCCCCACAGCAGAATGGGGTCGCTGAGCGACGCATCGGTTTGGTCATGGAGGTGGCTCGCACCTCCATGATCCATGCCGGTGCACCCCGTTTTCTGTGGCCGTTCGCTGTGCGCTACGCTTCTCACCAGCTTAACCTGTGGCCGCACCCTCAGCAGCCGCAGGTTTCGCCGACCCGTCTTTGGACTGCGTCTCCTGGTGACGCGTCTGCGTTCCACGTCTGGGGCTGCCTTGCTCACGTCCGTGCCTCCGGCACGGACAAGCTCACTGCCCGCACCCTTCCCTGCGTCTTCCTCGGCTTTCCCCTTGACGCGTCCGACTGACACTTTTACCACCCGCCGTCTCACCGCTTCTTTCACTCTCGCGACGTCACCTTTGACGAGTCCGTCCCCTACTGCCGTCGCTTCCCCCACCGCGGTCCCCCGGTTACCCCCCCCCTGTTCCTGGTCACTCCTTCCCCGGTAGTCCCTGCCCCTCCCCCTCCTCCTCCCCGTCTTGCCCCCTCTGGTGTGTCCCACGTCACCCCCCTTCCGTCGGTGGACCCGGTTGAGGAGTCTTCTGACTCTGGTGGCTCTGCTGCGCAGTCCTCGCTGGCCGCCCCTCCCCCGGCGTCCCCTCCCCAGTCCCCTCCTCCACCGCCTCTGCCGCCGCTGCAGCCGTCGTTGTCGCTGCCGCCGCCGCCGCCGTCGCAGCACCCGTTCGTTGCCTCTGGGGGTGCTAGTCCCGGTCGCCCTGGGGGTGGATCCTCTGGGGGTGCTGGTGTGGAGTGTGCCGGTGGTAGCCGCGGAGCCGCTTGCAGTCCCGGTATCGCCGTTGTGCCGCCGCAGCAGCAGTCCCCGCCGGTGTCAGCCCTTCGCCTGCTCGGCCTTCCGTCCCCTGACCCTGCGGCTGTTCCTCTCCGACCGTCTCCTCCTCTTCCCGTCTACGGCCCTGTGTTCCCTCCGCCGGACTCGTCCCCGGCCCGTCTTCCTCCTCGTTCCCCTCCTGTGTCCCCTCCCCTGTCTCCTGACCCGACTCCTCCGTCGCACGTCTGGTCTCACCGTCCCTCCCGTTCTCGTCCTGCCTCGCCTGTCTTGCGCTCCCACCCTATGTTGCTTCGTTCCCACGCGTCTCGTCCTCCCCTTCTGCCGTCGCCTCCTCCTTGCTCCCTTGTTGTTGCACCCCCCCCGCTGTGTGACTACCTCCGTGCCGCTCGTCCTCTTGTTCCTCGCGTCCTTGCCTCTCTCGTTACCGACCCGTCTGTTCCGGTCTCCTGCCTTGACGCTCTTGTTGCTGCGGTCGCTGACTTCGCCTCTACCCGCCGCCTTGACTACGCCACCGCTCTGGTCTCTGACCCTGCCTGTCCTCCGTCTGTCGGGGGTGCTCCTGCCCTTGGCAGTGACGTCCTGGAGGACCGCCAGTTCGAGCTTGCTTTCCTGTCCGAGGCTGCTCCCCATCTCTGTTCCATGCTGCTAGTCCCTGAGGGTGACCCTGACGCTTTCGACATTCCGACCCCTCGCACTTACGCTGAGGCGACCTCGGGACCTTGGGCCTCTCAGTGGATAGCTGCCATGGAGCAGGAGATGGCATCTTGGAGATCCACCGGCACCTTCGTCGACGCAGTTCCCCCGCCTGGGGTGAACGTAGTCGATGGCCGCTGGCTCTTCAAGGTGAAGCGCCCTCCTGGAGAGCCGCCTGTGTTCAAGGCGCGCTACGTGGCTAGAGGCTTCAGTCAGCGTGAGGGGGTGGACTTCTTCCAGACCTTCGCTCCGACCCCGAAGATGACTACTCTTCGGGTTCTGTTACACCTAGCTGCTCAGCGTGACTACGAGCTTCACTCCCTCGACTTCTCCACTGCCTTCCTTCAGGGCAGCCTACACGAGCAGGTCTACTTGCGTCGCCCTCAGGGCTTTACTGGCACCTTCCCTCCTGGGACCCAGTGGCTCTTGCGGCGCCCCGTCTACGGCCTGCGTCAGGCTCCCCGTGAGTGGCACGACACTCTCCGTGCTACGCTTGCTGACCTGCAGTTCTTTCCGTCTTCCGCAGACCCCTCACTCTTCGTTCGTGCTGGCCAGACTCCGTTCTACATCCTTGTTTACGTCGACGACCTGGTCTTTGCCACAGCAGACAGGGACGCACTAGCCTCCCTGAAGGCAGAGCTGCTGAAGAGACACACGTGCACTGACCTTGGAGAACTACGCCGTTACCTTGGCTTGCAGATCTCCAGGGACAGAGCAGCGCGCACCATCACCCTGACTCAGTCACACTTGGTGCGCCAGGTCCTTCAGAGGTTCAGCCTTCAGTTCTCCTCTGCACAGCCCACCCCTCTACCTGTAGACCACAGACTCTCCGCTCCAGTGTCTGAGGAGTTGGTAGAGCCCAGCGGCCCCTACGCAGAGCTGGTGGGTTGCCTCATGTACCTGATGACTTGCACTCGCCCAGATCTCGCGTACCCTCTCAGCATCCTGGCTCGCTTTGTGGCCACAGGCAGACACCGACCGCAGCACTGGTCTGCCGCTAAGAGGGTTTTGCGTTATCTTGCTAGTACATCGGGCATGGGGTTAGTGCTAGGAGGACGCAGGTCAGTGGTCCTTACTGGACACACAGACGCTTTGTGGGCAGACGACGCCGAGACACTCAGGTCTACCCAGGGCTACTGCTTCAGCCTTGGCTCAGGTGCCGTCTCGTGGAGAGCTACCCGCTCCTCGTCTGTTGCCCAGTCCAGCTGTGAGGCTGAGATCTACGCTGGTGCCATGGCGGCACAGGAGCTCCGCTGGCTGACCTTCTTGCTCACTGACTTAGGTGAGCGGCCTAGCTCTGCCCCGGTCCTGTTCGCTGACAACAGGGCCATGATCCTCCTGTGTCAGGAGCGGGCAGAGCGAAGCATATTCAGCTGCGATACTTCCTCCTGCGCGAGCTACAGCAGCGACGCCAGGCTCGCGTAGTACACTTGGCCTCAGGTGCCAATACAGCTGATATCTTTACGAAGGCGCTTGCGCCTAAAGATCATCAGCGGCACTGCGTACAGCTTGGTCTAGTTCCTGTAGCCTCTCACTTGCTAGGGCCTTGACTTTGTACTGTCCTTTATATGCATACTCAGACTGGACTTGTGTCCTCTCCCGGTGGCTGGACTAGTAGTGCCGCCCTGGTCTTGTTCTTACCTTGTCTCAACTCTGTCTGACTGGTCTTTTAGACCCTTGTCTCAGAGGTTGGACTAGTAGTGCCGCCCTGAGCTGCTTGTTCAGGTCATTCCCCTATGCAGTCTAGGGGGTGTGTCAAACATAAGCATAACTCATGTTTGTATAGACTGTATAGGGTAGCCTCTTAGAGGGTACAACACTCTTAGGTATATACCCTTGTACTCTCTCTCTATTCAACACATTCTTCAGTTCTAAGAACGTTCCCCTATAGTATTCTGCGCTACACTCTGAGTTATAATTCATAACACGAAGCGTGCCTGGGTGTATGTACGTGCCCTGGCCGAGGATCACATGGCCCACACAAGACACAGTGTGATTCTGATGTCTCTGATTGCCAGTCACATAAGCAGAGGCGTATGGAAAAACCATTCAAGCCACAGGCTTCTTGGGGCACACCAACGGCTGATCGCAGACGAATCCCTTGGGTCCAGCAGAAGCCATTCCCCCTCTGCAGCATGCGTCCCCCTGCTAGCACTACAATCGCTACATAAAAGCAGCACCACCAGGCGGAGGTGCTGCCGGCCGTCGGGAATGGCGATGAGCACGATGAACTTGTTGAGTAGAACCAGGGGCTGGTCTGTGGTCAGGTCACTCATGAAGCACCCCTTGCGCCCCAGCTGCAGGCCGCGCTGCAGCCGGTACCTCCCTGCACTACAATCTCTAAGAAGCAGCAGCACCAGCAGCAGCACCAGGCGGGGGTCGCTGCCGGCCGTCGGGAATGGCGATGAGCACGATGGGCTTGTTGGGGCGCACGAGCGGCTGGTCGCAGATGAAGTACCCCTTGCGCTCCAGCTGCAGGATGTCCCCGCGCTGCAGGTTGCGCATGTTACCATCGCCCACCGCCGCCTCCTCCCACCGCGTGCGCGGATTGAGTGCTGCCAGGAAGTCGTCGCCCTCGTCCAGCTGTTGGGGAGGAGGGGCGGTGGGGGCGGGGGAACGAAGGGGGATGGGTGGGACAAAGTACAGCAGCTGTTTAGCTCTGCGAGGCAGTCGTTGCCCTCGTCCAGCTGCGCGGAGAGGGGTGGTGGGGGGAGAGGAAGGGGAGAGGGGGGCGGAGGGGGGGAACTGGAGGGTTCAAAGCTGCCGGAAAAGCAACGTTTCCGTCCCCGCCGTTGGATTACAACATGGCACGGTGAAAGTATGTCCTGGTTAACCTCTCAACAGACCAACTGACAGTGTGAAGGCGCCGCTTTCTTTGCAATAAGGCTATGCGTTCTGTACTGTACTGTGCTTTGGTCTTGTTGGGGAGGTAGCCCAGCTCCACCAGAGTGAGCGGCACCAGCCCAGTGCAGATGAAAAGTGCAGAAAGGCAGCACTGCACCTCCACTTTTGACTCGTCTCTTGAGGCGCCCAAGACACACAAGCACGCCCCTTCTTCTTGCAGATCGGATAGGCCAGCTCCACAAGAGTTGGCGGCACCAGCGCATGAGCAGCGGGCCCACCAGACAAGGTAGTCCAGCACCACCAGCGTGAGTGGCAGCAGCTCATAGCTATCTTTGTCCGCGCCTCAAGAGATCCGCCCCAGGGATCAAGAGATCCGCCCCAGGGATCAAGAGATCCGCCCCAGGGATCAAGAGATCCGCCCCAGGGATCAAGAGAGCCGGCCCAGAGATGAAGCACACACCTTCTTCTTGGTGATGAGGTAGTCCAGCTCCACCAGCGTGAGCGGCACCAGCTCGTCGCTGTCCGCCAGCCACGTGAGCTTCAGCTTGGTGGCCTTCACCGACCCCTCGAGGTGCAGCACACCCTCCATCGCCTCCACCTCCCCCTCTCCCTCCCCTCCCTCCGTCCCGCCTCCCTCCCTCATCGTCTTCTTCTGCACGATCGCATTGCCCCAGTCCATGAGAGTCACCTCCTCGCCCTCCTTCATCACCTTCGCGTCCGCCCCTTCCACCCAGATCCGCCTCGCAAACACCGTTGCTTTCGTGCCGGCCGGGGGGTGCTTCTTGTGGCGCGGCAGCACGCGCACGAAGGGCGTGGCGGGCCCGTTGGAGAGCGTGAGCGGCACGCGGTGGGCGAGCACGATGGCGGTGTGGCGCGGGCACACCGGGTCGATGATCTTCTTGTTGATGGTCCACAGCTTGTCCATCTCCATCAGGTTCAGGTTCTTAGATGCGCCCTGGGGGATAGACGGGGGTTGTTGTGAAACACAGGGGGGCGGGGAGATGGAGGGGAAAGAGAGAGCAGAATCACAGTTGATGCAAGGGTGTGAGACACAGGGTAGAAGAGAGCGCAGAACCACGGCTGGAGCAAGGTACAGATGGGGTGATGTGATGGTGGTATCAATTTTGTTGATGGTCCACAGCGTGCCCATATCCGTGGGATTCAGGTTCTTGGACGCACCCTGGATAAGCAAGGACGTGAGGGGGAGAGAGGCGAGCGCAGAAATGAGGGAAAGGAAAAAACGTGTGACTCACAATGGGAGAAAAACATCGGATAACACCGGATATTAAACACCTGGAATCACACCTGAGACCACACCTGAAACCACACCTGAAACAACATCTGGAATCTCACCTGGGAGAGAATGAACTGCTTGAGGGCGGCCACAGTGAGCCCCCTCCGCAGCATGCCCTGCACGGTGGGGAAGCGCGGGTCGTCCCACCCGTCCACGCGGTTGTTGTCGACGAACCACGCGAGCTTGCGCTTGGAGAGCAGCGTGTACACGAAGTTGAGGCGCGAGAAGTCCCACATCTCCACGCGCCGCAGACCCATGTCCTGGGATAGTGCACAAGGCAGGAGTGGAGGGAGGAAAAGGGAGAAGAACAAGAGGAGGGGAGTGACCTAAGGGAAAACAATGCTTGCGCTTGGACAGCAGCGTGCACATGAAGTTGAGGCGCGAGAAACCCCACACCTCCACGCGCCGCAGACCCATGTCATGGGATAGTGCACAAGGGAGGAGCAGGGAGGGGGGGGAGGGAGAGGGGAGCAATGAATGGAAGGGAGGTGGGTCTAGCTCAGCGCAGTGTGCACACAAAGCTGAGGCGCCACAAGTCCATCACCTCCACCCGCCGCTGACCCTGTCCTGCGAGGGCGTTCGAGATGAGTGAGGAACGCGGCGAATTGGAGCCAGCCAGCGCTCGGAGACAAGACGAGGGTCTAGTGTCAAGACGAGACAAGCCAGACAAGGGCGTTGACAAAGCTGAGGCGACTGAAGTCCCACACTGCGACCTCGGAGGGAGCGAAACAGCGCTGGAAAAAGTGAATACTATAGCATTCGTAAAAGTTTATAATAACAAGCTTGAGATCGCAAAGGTTAAGCAAATCCACAACACCACGCACCTGCAGCACTCTGTAGCACTGCTCGTAGCAAGGGTGCCTCCAGCACTTGGCAGTGGCACTAGATACCTCGCGCACCACCAACGCCCCTCAAGCCCTAAGCCACACGTACCTCCAGCACTTTAATAATACTGCCTGCTGCGGTCGTACCTGCGAGCAATAAATACCTCAAGCCCTAAGCCACACGTACCTCGAGCCCTTAGCCACACCACACGTACCTTAAGCTTTTAGCCACACGCACCTCGAGCACTTTGTAGTACTGCTCGTTGCGGTCGTGGTACTCGCTGGAGCGCAGCGCGTGCGTGACGCCCTCGATGCTGTCCACGTACGGGCACGCGAAGTCGTAGGTGGGGTACGCCTTGTACTTGCTGCCCGTGCGCAGGTGGGGGAGACCAGAGGCGTCCACCCGGAAGTAGACGGGGTCCCGCAGGGTCTTGTTCACAGCCTGGGGGGAGATATGGTGGCGGGGTGGCGGGGGGGAAGGGGAGAGCAGTGAGATAGAGCCAATATAGGGGCATGCAAAAGTCGTAGGCGGGGTACACCTTGTACTTGGTGCCCGTGTACTTGGGGCAGACCAGACGGAAGTAGTCCAGGTCCCGCAGGGTCTTGTTCACCGTCCAGAGGGAAAAGGAGGAAGAGGGGAGAGAGGACGGGAGAGGACGGAAAAGGGGGGAAAGACAGCAAGGGTGAGTGGATCCCAAGTTGACTCAAGACGGAACTAAAGACAACTTTCAGCTTCTTTCAGAATCTCTCCAGTTTTAAAACACCATCTTTAGATGCTATATGCTTTGGAAAAACACCAGTCCGGAAAAGAAGCAACCAGAGGAGGAAGCTTCCCAGAGGCTCTATCCTCCACCCCAATACAAGCACGCACCTGCATGCTCCCTGCCAGCACCTCTCCTCGCACCTGCATGCATGCCCCCTACAAGTTTCCCTTGGTCCCCAAAACACGCATCTTCATGTCCCACTTGGCGCGCACACAGCACTCCTTGCTGTCATCGCTGCCCTCGAGCATCTCCCCCCACAGCTGCATGTTGCGCTCAACACTGTGCGCACGGCACACCTTCACACATCTGCTCCAACCTGCAAGCCCCCCTACAAGCACATCTGCTCCAACCTGCAAGCCCCCCTACCAGCACATCTGTTCCAACCTGCAAGCCCCCCTACCAGCACATCTGCTCCAACCTGCAAGCCCCCCTACAAGCACATCTGCTCCAACCTGCAAGCCCCTCTACCAGCACATCTGCTCCAACCTGCAAGCCCCCCTACCAGCACATCTGCTCCAACCTGCAAGCCCCCCTACAAGCACATCTGCTCCAACCTGCAAGCCCCTCTACCAGCACATCTGCTCCAACCTGCAAGCCCCCCTACCAGCACATCTGCTCCAACCTGCAAGCCCCCCTACCAGCACATCTGCTCCAACCTGCATGCCCACAACCAGCTCTCACCTGCATGTCCCACTTGGCGCGCACGCAGCACTCCTTGCCCTCGTCGCTGCCCTTGAGCATCTCGCCCCACAGCTGCAGGTTGCGCTCCACGCTGTGCGCGCGGCACGCCGACTCGATGCCCTCCATGCGCTCCTCCCGCATCTTCTCCTTGGGCGTGCTGTCCACGTACGCCTTCCCCTCGCGAATCAGCTTCTCACACATAGCCTGGGAGGGCGGGATCAGGGTTTCGGGTTGAAGCTTTAAGGTGGGGCCACACCCACACCCACACCCACACTCAAACACACTCCCCCACACACACTCCTTTCTCAGTTCCCAGGCATGGCCTGAGGGGAGGCGTACACATTGTAAGTGGGTGCACAAGTGCATCTGCATAGTGCATGCATGCATGCGTTATATGCACCCATGCATGCGCACGCCATGACACACAGACATGGCATGCGCAACACAGTAACGTCAGCAGTGACTCACAATAAGCCCATCAAAGTAGTCGGAGGTATGCGCGATCTTCTCCCAAGTGAGCCCCAGCCGTACCATATCCGCAAGAATGCTCTCCACAAACTCACCCCTCCCCTTGCTCGGGTTCTCGCCATCCAACCCTTGAGGCGCATCAAAGGTCAACCATGACTCACAATGAGCCCATCGAAGTAGTCAGATGTGTGCGTGATCTTGTCCCACGTGAGCCCCAGCCGCGCCATGTCCGCCAGGATGCTCTCCACGAACTCGTCCTTCTCCTTGCTGGGGTTCGTGTCGTCGAACCGCACCAGCATCTTGCCGCCGTACTTCTCCGCGAAGAACTGGTTCATCAGAGCCGCCTTCGCATGCCCGATGTGCATGTACCCGCTTGGCTCGGGCGGGAATCTCGTTACAACCTGCCCGTACACCGCCCCGGGCAGCTCTAATTCCGCCGGCTGGTCGCCTCCCCCGCCCCCTGCGCTTCCCCCTGCCCTTCCCCCTCCATCTCCCTTCTCCTCCTTCCCCTTTCCTCCTCCCTTGCCTTCCTCGCCCGCCCCTGGTCCCCTCTTTGCTGCTGAAGCTAAGGCTTGGGCGGCCTTCCTGCTGAAGGGCAGCAGGCTCGGCGAGAGGTCGGGAGCTTCGGCGTGAACAGTGTTGTACCAGCGGATGAGGTTCGGGTACTTGGCGGTTGGGGACTTGCGAATGCTGTCCCACCGCTGCCCCGTGGCTGCAGGCAAAGGGACGGTGCATGGGAGTGGAAGGAGGGATAGAGGAACGCATCATTACAGGGTGCGTACATATTCGCGCATGCTTACACGGTGCATATGCATCCAGAATACTCGCGAAAGTTGTCCCGCCGCTGCCCTGTGGCTGCACGAATGGAACAGCGGAGGGGAGTCAAACCTATACATGGGTATGCCATTATATTCATGCGGATTTGCAATCCAAGCGAATGCTGTTTCGGTGCTGGCCACAGGAAACAGCAGCTGAATAGAAATAGGAGTGGAGAGAGGTGCCTGCATCTACATATCGCTTTTACTATGACAGCGGAAGAGCTGAATGCATTTCGCTATCCAGGAAAACAAGGGGAGAGAGGGCCGGAAGGGGCGAGCGTTGGGAAGAGGGAGTGGGAGGAGGCGCATTGAAGCTAAAGAGGCTTGTAAACTCCACACTCATTGCAATGCTGGCTGACAACACCACGAGCCTACAGAGAGCGCCCTAACCTAAGCTAAACGGCAACGATTCATGCACAAACGGACCAAGCAGGATGCAGCTTCTAGAGTTAACAGACACTGCAAAACGTAAAACGACGGCGTTACGGCAGTCTGATCCACGCCAGGCCAGGGTACAGCGTCGCAACCTACGCCTGACATACAATGTGTGAGGAGTCTAGGTCTCTAGCTGGTCTCTGGCTGGTCTCTGGCTGGTCTCTGGCTGGTCTCTGGCTGGTCTCTGGCTGGTCTCTGGCCGGTCTTTGGCCGGACTTTGGCTGGTCTTTGGCTGGTCTCTGGCTGGTCTCTGGCTTACCAAAGAGACCGGCAAATATCGCCACGTCAGCAATGGAGAGGTCGAAACCGACAAAGAAGGTGCGGGCGGCGAGGTAGGAGTTGAGGTAGGTGCAGATGCGCTCAAACTCCGAGCCAATGGCCAGGGTGGGCGCGTAGTCGACCACCTCATCCACCTGAAGGGGTGCGGTGGGGTGGGGTGGGGTGGGGTGCGGTGGGTTGGAATGGGTGCAGTGTGGTGAACAGTGTGTAATGCGGTGTGGTGAACAGTGTGTAATGCGGTGTGGTGAACAGTGTGTAATGCGGTGTGGTGAACAGTGTGTAATGCGGTGTGGTGGACTGTGTGTAATGCGGTGTGGTGAACAGTGTGTAATGCGGTGTGGGGTGCGGTGGGGTGGGGTGTGATCAACAAAACATAATGTGAAACAGGGAGGGGTGAGGTGTGGTGTGGTGGGGTAGGAGCAGATGCGCTGGAGCTGAGACCCGGCAGACAATGGGGGTGTATGATGGACGAACTCATCCACCTGCTGCCATGGGTTCAGGTGCCGCGTCACACGATACTGCAACCAGAAACCCTCAATGCTGCAACGGGTATGCCAGGATGCGGACGCGAGCTCATTGTGCTGGCAGCAGCAGACGGGAGCGAGGGAGCATGTTGACCGGGCAGCCTGTGAGGAACCCTTTGCGCCACGTGCAATGACGAGTGCCGGGGAGCTCGAAACGGCGCGAGGCGCTTCGCATGGCTGCAATACGTCGCACTGCGAGTGACGCACTCCGAGACGCTGCGAATATCGTTCACTCTTGCACCGGTCCTCTTGCACCGGCAGTGAAGAACGAAAAACGGGCAACGGCTATGGTCGCTAGCCTGTCAGCTGTGCCACCTGGCATTCAGCGATTGGATCCTGCCCCCACCTGGCAAACGGCGATTGGATCCGAGCCGCCATAGAATCCCTCCCTTTGCGCCACGCGGCCGAAATAGCGGAGGATGGTGCTGGCGCCCCGTAGCTCGTCGCTGATTGGTCGAGAGGAAGAGACATGGAGGGTGAGGGGTTGAGGGGAGGAAACGGGGGAAATGCGGAGGAATCGGGAAGGAGTAGGGCTTTAAGCGATTGACGACGAGAATGCGGCTGTGGGTAGTAGCTATGGAGAGGACAGGAGCAGGGGTCGATGGGAGTCGATTGGAGACGGAGATCCCACGGGGGAGCACAGGGTTTAGAAACATGGACGACAAAAATCGACAGTGGGATGTGGATTGACAAAAATGGGTTCGTCTGCTAGACCCGAAGAAGGCTCTCTTGTTCCGAGTTTTGAGGAAGCGTCTGCGACGATGAAAAAGAGGGAGCTCAGGCGGCGGTGCGATGCACGAGGCGGTAGGGAGGTGGGCGCGGAGGAGCAGCGGGAGGCGGGGAGGAGTGCGCCAGCAATATAGCCGGGAAGATCTGGAGACGGACAGGCTCACCACGCTGCGAAGGAGCGCGAAAGCGAATCTAAAAGCATATCCTGGATGAACGCGTCAGGCAGCCTGAAACTGCTGTCAGGAGGGTGGATAGGGGAGCAGGGAGCATACCCAGTGGGGAGGTACAGCACCGGCGGGCTGCTTCCAGACAGGCTGGCGTCGACGGCAGCATCGACCTCGATCTTTGCGATAACCGCCGCCCCAATCGCCGCGAGGGGCGCCGCGTCTGGCGGAAACCGGAGGACGGATTTATTAGCCATATTGACAGGAGGATAGACAGGCGAGAAAGGGGTTTTGGACTTGGAAAAGGCGGCTCCGATATGGCGCCCCTCGGTTTTACGTCAAGCACAGAATGACAATTCTGGGGAAAGTATATCCGCGCTCAGTATTAGGGGCCTCGATAACATGTACGATTAGTGACACGATATAAACAATCAGAATTAGCGAGTTCGCAACATGTTTCATCAGTCAGATTCCACCGTTAGTCAGAAACTGCAGGAAAAAAGTTCCACGAATGGTCAGTAGAAGTTGTCAAACATGTGTATTTGTTATGTTTGCATAGACTGTATAGGGTTATCTCTTAGAGGGTACAACACTTAGGGTCATCTAACTGTACTCTCACTCTACCCAATATTCACTTCTCTAATTCTGATATGGTATCACGCGTAGGTTAGGATCCCCCCCACCTACCGCTTCCGCTCGTTCCCTAGCTAGGCCCCGCCGCGACCCCCTGGGCCCCGTCGTGCCCCTAGCCCTGCCGCGCCCCTCCTGGGCCCCGTCGCGACCCTCTAGCCCCGTCGCGCCTCCCTGGGCCCCGTCGCGACCCCCTAGGCCCGTCGCGACCCCCCTGGGCCCTTCGTGCCCCTAGCCCCGTAGCGCCCCTCCTGGGCCCCGTCGCGCCCCTCCTGGGCCCCGTAGCGCCCCTCCTGGGCCCCGTCGCGCCCCTCCCAGGCCCCGTAGCGCCCCTCCTTGGCCCCGTCGCGCCCCTACTGAGCCCCGTAGCGCCCCTCCTGGGCCCCGTCGCGCCCCTCCTGGGCCCCGTAGCGCCCCTCCTGGGCCCCGTCGCGCCCCTTCTGGGCCCCGTAGCGCCCCTCCTGGGCCCCGTCGCGCCCCTCCTGAGCCCCGTAGCGCCCCTCCTGGGCCCCGTAGCGCTCCTCCTGGGCCCCGTCGCACCCCTCCTGGGCCGCGTAGCGCCCCTCCTGGGCCCCGTAGCGCCCTCCTGGGCCCCGTAGCGCCCTCCTGGGCCCCGTCACGCCATTCAGGCCCCGTCGCGCCCTGCCCGGCCCCGTCGCACCGGCCCGGCCCCGTCGCACCCGCCCGGCCCCCGTCGCACCCGCCCGACCCCGTCGCGCCCTGCCCGGCTACGTCGCACCCGCCCGGCCCCGTCGCACCCGCCCGGCCCCGTCGCACCCGCCAGGCCCCGTCGCACCCGCCCGGCCCCGTCGCACCCGCCCGGCCCCTTTGCGCACTGCCCGGCCCCGTTGCGCCCTGCCCGGCCCCGTCGCACCCGCCCGGCCCCAGTTGCGCCCTGCCCGGCCCCGTCGCGCCCTGCCTCGCCCCGCTGTGCCCGCCCGGCCCAGCCGCACCGGCCCGGCCTCTACGCTCATCCCTGCCCCGGCCCTTGCATCCTCACTGGTACGGTTCCCCCCCTCCCTGCACTGCCCTGCATTGCACTGCCCCGCCCTGCACCACAGTGCACTGCCCTGCACCGCCCTGCACTGCCCTGCACCGCCCTCCATTGCACTGCACAGCACTGCACCGCCCTGCACCGCACTGCAAAGTACTGCCCTGTCCTGCACTGCCCCTGATGGCGGCGGAGCTTCGGTTTGACGCTGAAGGCCAGCCTCTGGAGTTCGAGGCGTGGCTTGCCGACCTCCGACGCCAACTCAATGGCCAGCGGCAGGATGGTGAACCGCTGTCCGCACACCTTGACGGTACGCTCCCCTGCCCAGACCCCCCTGCTGTTCTGCCCGCTGACCCCACACCCACCGAGCGCGAATCTACTGCTGCCACTGCCCGTGCGCGCTCTGTCTGGCTTTCTCGCGATGCTGTCGCCCAGCTTGCCATTAGCAACGCCCTTCCCCCGTCCGAGCGCCCTCGCTTTAGGTCTCTCACAACTGCTCAGGCTTACTTAGATGCTGTCATCAAGCGCTATTCCACCCCTCCGGCTGCCTCGGTGGGTCGCCTGATCCTCCCGATGCTCTTTCCTGACCTTGCGTCTTTCCCCACTGTCTCTGACCTCGCTGCCCACCTGCGCTCGATAGATGAGACCTGGCGCGCTGCCTGCACTGACGCACAGCTTAGAGCCCACCAGCCGCCTATTACCTCTACCCTTTACCTGCTTGCCACCCGCCTCCCTGACGCCTTGCTGTCGCCCGCGACCGCTTCCTTAGCATTCACCCCGCAGACCTCACCCTCACTGACTTTGTAGACACCCTGACTGTGATTGAGACCCGCCACCGCTCCATCGCCCAGGCGAGTGGTACCGTGCCGGTCCCTATCTTTCAGGGTTGTGCCCCCACTCAGTGCACCTTCTCCGACGGCTCTGCCGCTGTGGCTGAGACTGCTGCTGCAGCGCAGTTTCGTTCGGGGAAGGGCCGCCGCCCCAAGTTTGGGCGCGGCGGAGGAGGCGGGGGTGCGGGAGGGGGTGGTGGTGGAGTCGGGTCGTCTGGTGCTGGAGCGGACGAGGGGACCCTGCCCAGTCCAGCTGAGCCGCCGCCTCTGCAGTTGCAGCAGCAGCAGCAGCAGCCGCAGCAGCCGCCGCAGTCGAAGCAGCCGCAGCCTTCGCAGCAGCCGCAGCAGCCGCCGCAGACGAGGCAGAGGAGTGTCCTCCCGCCCGGGTGGCCCGGCGCTGGCGGTGGTCGGGCGCGTGGTGGTGTGCCGAGTGGTGGTTCTGGAGGCGTGCGTTGTCAGTACCAGATCCAGACCGGTCCTCGCCGCGGCTTCGTTTGCGGTAAGATCGGTCACTCCACTCCCTGCTGTTTTCGTCGCTTGGACGACCTGTTTCGTCAGCGCTTCGGCCCGTCGCCAGACCTTCCGGACTGGCACAGTTTGCTTAGTCGTAAGATTCAGATTTTTGACATGGACATGGATGCCATTGTTTCTGCTTTGCATGTGATGTATGCTGATGACTCTAGTGTGCTTCCCGCTTATTACTCACTGTCGGCTAGTGTAGGTGTGCCTAGCTTAGCCTCCCCTGCTGCGTCAGGCGTAGGATCCCCTGCTTTGTGTAGTCTTGGTGCTTCCGACGTTGTTCCGTCGCCAGACGCCTCTGCTTCGCTTTCCTTCACCTTGGACTCTGGCGCTTCCCGGTGTTTCTTCCGCGACTCCACCAACCTGACGCCGCTTCCTGTTCCTGCTGCCGTTTCTCTTGCTGACCCCTCCGGCGGTCCGGTAGTCGCCCGCAGTTCCACCACCCTTCCCTGTCCGGCGGTTCTTTCAGGCTCTCTCACAGGTCTGCATATCCCCTCGTTCTCCAGGAACCTAGTTGGTGTCGGCTGCCTCCAGGACCTTGGCGTCACCACTACGTTCCCTGGCCACGAGCGGTATGCTGTCTGTACCGAGGCCGCCACTGGTGCCCCCCTGTCCACGCTCCCCCGGGACCCGGTGTCCGGCCTGTTCACTCTGGACACCGTGATCCCCCCGGCTGGAGCGCTCCCTCAGGTGGCTGCGTCTACCCAGGTTGCTGTTGCCTGCTCCTGTCGGTCCTTCACTCACCCGACTCTCCTTTGGCACCACCGCCTAGGTCACCCTGCGCTCCCGCGTCTGCGTCACATGTCCCAGCACAGTCTTGTCCTTGGTCTCCCAGGTTCCCTCCCCGCGTTTCCTTCCTCCCCAGCTCCACCTTGCACGCCTTGCGTCGAGGGTCGGCATCGCCATGCCCCTCACTCCTCCTCTTTTCCCCCTACCGCCGCGCCGCTGCAGACCGTGCACCTGGACGTCTGGGGCCCCGCCCCCGTCCCTGGGCCGCGTCGCGAGCGCTACTTCCTTGTGCTTGTCGACGACTTTACTCGTTACACCACAGTCTTTCCCCTGGAGTGCAAGGCCGACGTGCCTGGCGCCCTCATCCCCTGGCTTGTCTCTGCGCGTGTCCACCGCGGTCTCCCTGTCTTGCGTCTTCACTCCGACCGTGGTGGCGAGTTTGCCTCCGGTGTCCTTGGTCGCTTTTGTCGTGCGGAGGGCATTACCCAGACGTTCACCCTACCGGACTCCCCACAGCAGAATGGGGTCGCTGAGCGACGCATCGGTTTGGTCATGGAGGTGGCTCGCACCTCCATGATCCATCCCGGTGCACCCCATTTTCTGTGGCCGTTCGCTGTGCGCTACGCTTCTCACCAGCTTAACTTATGGCCGCACCCTCAGCAGCCGCAGGTTTCGCTGACCCGTCTTTGGACTGGGTCTCCTGGTGACGCGTCTGCATTTCACGTCTGGGGCTGCCTTGCTCACGTCCGTGCCTCCGGCACGGACAAGCTCACTGCCCGCACCCTTCCCTGCGTCTTCCTCGGTTTTCACCTTGACGCGTCCGACTGGCACTTCTACCACCCGCCGTCTCACCGCTTCTTTCACTCTCGTGACGTCACCTTTGACGAGTCCGTCTCTTACTACCGTCGCTTCCCCCACCGCGGTCCCCCGGTTACCCCCCCCCTGTTCCTGGTCACTCCTTCCCCGGTAGTCCCTGCCCCTCCCCCTCCTCCTCCCCGTCCTGCCCCCTCTGGTGTGTCCCACGTCACCCCCCTTCCGTCGGTGGACCCGGTTGAGGAGTCTTCTGACTCTGGTGGCCCTGCTGCGCAGTCCTCGCCGGCCGCCCCTCCACCGGCGTCCCCTCCCCAGTCCCCTCCTCCACCGCCTCCGCCGCCGCTGCACCCATCGGTGTCGCTGCCGCCGCCGCCGCCGCCGTCGCAGCACCCGTTCGCTGACTCTGGGGGTGCTCGTACTGGTAGCCCTGGGGGTGGTTCCTCTGGGGGTGCTGGTGTGGAGTGTGCCGGTGGTAGCCGCGGCACAGCTTGCAGTCCCGGTGTCGCCGTTCTGCCGCCGGAGCAGCAGTCCCCGCCGGTGTCCGCCCTTCGCCTGCTCGGCCTTCCGTCCCCTGACCCTGCGGCTGTTCCTCTCCGCCCGTCTCCTCCTCTTCCCGTCTACGGCCCTGTGTTCCCTCCGCCGGACTCGTCCCCCGCCCGTATTCCCCCTCGTTCCCCTCCTGTGTCCCCTCCCCTGTCTCCTGACCCGACTCCTCCGTCGCACGTCTGGTCTCACCGTCCCTCCCGTGCTCGTCCTGCCTCGCCTGTCTTGCGCTCCCACC